TGTGAAATAGACTGGGAGGAGTGTGCAGTGAGCGAGTGTCACTGTGAAATAGACTGGGAGGAGTGTGCAGTGAGCGAGTGTCACTGTGAAATAGACTGGGAGGAGTGTGCAGTGAGTGAGTGTCACTGTGAAATAGACCAGGAGGAGTATGTAGTAAATCAGTGTGACTGAAGAAGGATGGAACTACATTAGAAGGGCAGCAGTGAAAGGAGGTAAAAAGAACACCTGCATACCTGTCACAGCGAATGTGTGACATCATGGGAAAACAAGTAGGTAATTGATGAGTATTTCTTCCATGTCTCTTTTGATTAACCAAGTGGTGTAAATCAAGATACAATATAAAACTGTAGAGGACAATTCACTTTTAAAATATTTAACATTCAAATTCATTCATTTAATAGAATAGAGATGGCTGCATGGGAAATTCATCACAGTTTTAGGATGTGGGAGCTGGTACTATCCACAGTGACCACTTCTGCAGTTGCCTACCTTATACCACGGTCCAGCATATCTCTTCTAGGCTGGAGAGGAACTTGATGTGGGAGGGGAAAGGTCTAGTTGTTGTAGTTCATGTAGATATGAATGACATAAATAGGACTAGGAAAGAGATCCTGCTGGGGGATTATGAGCAGCTTGGAGCTATGTTAAAACACAGAACCGCAACGGTATGATCCTCAGAATTACTATCTGAGCCACTTACAAATAGGCTTGGAGTAAATGTGATTTAAAGGCAGTAAATGTACAACTCACTTTTGCTGTTGAAGAAATGGGTTCCTATTTATGTAGCATTAGCAACAATACCAGGGAAACAGAGAACTGTTCTGTTGGGATGGACTACAATTAAACCATGCTGGGCCCAGTATCCAGGAGAATCGTATATGTAATGTTATGGATAGGTCTTTAAGCTAAATAGTTGGGGTCATGAGTGGGGTGTGTAGGAATTGAATGGATGTTTAAACAATTATAATGAAATGAAGAGGTCAATGATAATCAAAGTGTGACTGGAAGGGATGGAAGATTTAAGTAGAAGAGTGCATGAGAAATTAGAAACAGGATTAGGAATAATTGTAAGTCAAAGCTTAAAGTTCTATATCTGAATATACACAGCATTTTAAACAAGATGGATGAGTTGATGGCACAAATAAAAATAAATGAATATGACATTTTAACCATTATGGAGACATGTCTGCAGAGTGACCAAGCCTGGGAAATTAATATTCAAGGGTATTCTTTTTAACAGAAAAATGGGCAAAATGGGAATGGAGGTGGGGTAGCTTTGTTAATAAAGGAATTTTTGGTAAGGTGGTAAATAGTGTTAAACTTGCAATGAATCATCATGTGAATTAGTTTGGGTGGAAATAAGCATTAGCAAGGAAAGAAATTATATTTTGTCTAGGCCTTGAAGGGTTGCCTTCGCGGAGAACAAAGCATGAATAAGAAAATAATGGAGGCATGTGAGAAGGCACTTCAATTGTCATGGGTGATTTTAATTTGACTGGACAAATCAGATGGGCAATGGTAACTTGGAAGACCAATTTGTGCAGTGCATCTGGGATTGATTCTTCAAACAGTATGTTTGCACAACTTACCCAGGAACAGGCCATTTTAGATCTAGTAACTTGTAATTAATTAGGGATTAATAAGAGAATTCCAAGTTAATATTCCAGTAGAGAGTAGTGATCACAACAAGGTAGAATTTCAAATTCAGTCTGGGGGATAACAACTTGGATCTCAAACCAGTGTCCTTAACTTAAATAAGGCCAATTACAGAGATGTGGACAAAGAGTTCTTTAAAGCGGACTCGAAAATAGACTAACAGGACATTCATGAGAAGGGCAGTGGCAGATGTCATAGAGCTATAAAGCACAGAAAAGGCCCTTCAATCTATTGTGTCTGCACCACACATATTGCATAATGCTAATCTGTGTGGTTGCATAATGTTAATCAAAAATTTATTCAGTTCAAAAAGAAGGATTTGATGAGAAGGGTGAACCACCTATAATTAACAAAGGTGATTATCAGAGTATCGAATCAGAAACTAAGATGTATACAACAGTGAAAACTAATGGTAGGCCAAAAGATTGGAAAGTGCTCAAGAAGGAGCAGCAGACTAAAAGTTCTCAGAGAAAGAGAGAAAATAGAGTGTGGCAATATAAATTAGCAAGAAATACAACTGATAATTATGACAGGTAGCAAGTAACTTTTGCACCACACAAGTTCCAGGCAATAAGTATCTCCAACCAGAGTGAATCTAACCATCGCCAATTGACATTTAATGATATCACCGTCACAGAATTTCTCACTATCAACATCTTGGGGGTTACCATTGAGCAGTAAGTGAACTGGACCAGCCATATAGGTGCTGTGGCCATGACAGCAGATCAGAGGCAAGGAATTGCACAGTGACTAACACACCTCCTGCCCATGATCTACAAGGCACAAGTCAGAAGTTTGATGAAATCCTCCCCACTTGCCTGGATCAGTGCAGCTCCAACAGCTTTCAAGAAATTTGACACCATCCAGGACAAAGCAGCCTGCTTGATTGGCACCATATTTACAGCATAAACTCTCACCACCACCAATGCAGCAGTGTGTACTATCTATAAGGTGCACTGCAGAAATTGGCTCCTTTGACAGCACCTTCCAAACCGTGACCATGACCGCTTAGAAAGACAAAGGTAGCAGATACATGGGAACACCATCATCGGCAAGCATGCCTTCAAGTCACTCACCATCCTGACTTGGAAATATATCGTATTCCTTTAGTGCCACTGGTCAAATTCCTGTAACTCCCTACCTAACAGTACTATCAGTCAACCTACAGCACATGAACTGCAGTAGTTGGAGAAGGCACTCATCACCACGTTCTCAGGGGTAACAAGAGGTGAGCAATAATGCTGGCCAGCCAGTGACATTCACATTCTATGAGTAAATTTCTTTTTTAAAAAAGTATTTACGTGGCTCTAGATATTGTACAGTTTCTAGCTTCTTGCAATTTCTAATTTCTCTTTCTTGCTTCCCCACATTAAAACTCTGTCACAATTCTGTCCATTCACACCAAGTAACAATAAATCTTGAAAAATGTTAACTCCTGCCCCAGCCCCCAATCTGAGCAGCAAAGAATAAACAATGGGTTTTACTACAGTGCTGTTAAAATGGCCTGCATGTTGAAATGAGTTTGTATTTGCTTGTCTGGCAGGCAGTTTGCATTGAGAACTCCTGCATGGTCAGAGGCAGCAAGGAGGGAAGAAACGGTGTCGTTCACCAAATCAGAAAGGTCATTGTCGCTGTGGATAAGTCCCTGCTGCAAATTCTGAGGGAAGATCCTCGCTTTAGGTAAGTACTAAGGTGTTCCAGCTCTTGGGATTTAAGAAAAGTTATTTCTTCGGAACCAACAGGACGGTTACCAATTTCACTCACACTTATATAAGTGAACAAAGCAGGAGAAATGTACTCAATATCTGCAGATGTAGCAGTAGATTTTCCAGCTGGCCTGCCAGCTAGCAGAATACACCAAGTTACTCACCCATTTCTCAGACGGAAGTATTTGGATTCATTTTGAGGCCCATACCTTATTTAAATAGAACTGTGACTAGTTGGCTATCAAGTTGGTATCTTGATGCAGTGGTAACAATGAAGTAACACTACTGGACTTGTAATCCAGAGGCCTGAGCAATTAATCTGGAAATCATGTTCAGATCCCTCCATGGCAGCTAGGCAATTTATGTTTAACAAATTAAATAGAATCTGAAGTACCAAGCTTCAATAGTGGTGACCAGTAAGATGCCAGATTTCCGTAAAAATCCAGCAGGTATCCTGATATCCTTTAGAAAAGAAAGTCAGTCATCCTTGCCTGGTTTGGTCTGTATTTGATTCCAGATTTACTTTGCCCATTGCGATGACCTAGCAAGCCATGCAGTTTTCAAGAGGTGTCTTACCATCTTCTTGAGGAGGTTTATGGATGAGCAATAAATGCTGGTCTTACCAGTGATGCCCACAATCAGAGAATGAATAAACAGATATTTGCTGGATTTGAGTTGGCCTAAAGTCAGTTGCATTTGAGTTTGCTGGGTAACGGTGAGGGAGGGAGATTGATGGGCATGAAATGAGGAACGCAGTGAGACAGTAGCCAAGGTGAATGTTGTAGGGGCCTGTGAAGCCATGGAACCAGAAGAAATATATTCGCTGACTTTACAGAGTAAGAGAACAATGTGATTGCACATACACTCGTCAAAATTTTGAATAGATTTTAAAAATTAATGCAGTAAATTTTGACTGGGCTGATTCAGTAGGGGGTGAAAGGATACAGAAGGCTGTTAATACAGAAGAAATAGAATTTGTTCTGTTTGTGGCCTTAGAAAGAATCTTAATAATGCCAGCTGAAAGGAATGACTTTCCTTTTTCCATTGTATTTTTCATCGATCTTTTTCTCGTCAAGGAATTTTCACTAAAATTATGATTACTTTTCTTATCAGCATATTCCTGACTCTAGCAGAATCTGTAGGTCTGACAGAACTGCTTATGGAAGAAGGAGACTGGACTTTATTTGTTCCAACCAACGACGTGTTTGAAAGCCTTTCATCAGACGAACTAGAAGAATTGACAAGTAAGAAATCAAAGCTTTAAAAATCCAATTGTAAGTTTTAAAATTTTAAATAAAGGAGCTACATATAAGATTTTGTTTTATGGGCCTGTACTGGGTGTGATAATAATTGATCAATTCTGCAGCCTTGCCCCCAAACTTCAGCTATTTTTCTTTCAGATGGTTCTGATAGTGTCTTGAAATGAATATGTATCTAATTTCAGTATTGAAATGAGAAGCCAGCCCTTATGTCAGTCAAAGATTTTCAACTTTATGTTCTCGAGTTAATAAATTTGCGATGTGGAGATCTTAAACATCTTCACTAATGGGTCTTTAAAAGGATGGCTGAGAGCTACTCAAGGAAAAAGGTGCCAAAAACCTTTTCAACATTGCGTTTCGCGGAATCCAAGGAAGCAGATATGCTCTTCCTTGCTTCATTGGATAAATGTAAGCGAATAACGGCTCATCCTTTTTCCCCTCAATAATTGCTCCCCCTAGACTTATCTCTGGTTTGTTATGCAGATTGAATTGAATAGTGTCTGCAGCTTTTGATTGATTCTGGCGATTTTTGTAGTTCAGTCTATGAACTGTCTGTCAGTGCATCAGACTGGAACTGCATATAGCTTGGAACACATAGGATTTTTATTCCCAGTTCTTTTATTTTTAACAGCTTTGTTAAAATGGAAACACGTAGTAAGATTGCTTTACATATAATTAACTTTCAGCATGTCACTAAAATGATACCTTGCTTTAATTGGTGGTGTTAATGGTCTGTATTTTAATACTGTGAGTTCAATCCTCAATATACATTACAGGCAGTTCCCTAAGTCCAGTTCTAAAAGAGAATCACGTTGTTAAAGAGATAGGAGTGAAACTCCACTTAGCTACTTGCTTGAATAGACACAAACAATCCAGTAAAACTAATTGGAGAAAAAAATAGAGTAGGGCAGACAATTGGACAGAATTTATTCTCTGGCCGAAAGCAAAATGTGTATTTATTTATTCATTTACTTGATGTACTGCCCAACATTTTTTCCTCAACCTAAAACAGATTTTATGCTTGTTCATTTGTCCTTTGAGTGGAAACAGATTGTTGCATATAGCCACATCACAAAAGTGACTTCATTGAAAAGACATTTGTTTATGATAAGGTGCTGCTTAACACAAGTGCTTGTAGCTTCACACATTTCTCATAATACACTGGCAGCTTTAAAACTCAAAGAGTGTGCTTTTGCTTCAGGTATGGAAGAAAAGTTATGGGAATATTTTAATTGTCTACTTCCACATTCATTTAGAAGCACAAAGGTGTATTTGGACAGAAATTATAAAACCAAATTTTCCAACCACTGGTCATGATCAAGCATGCCTTAAAATAGCACTTCAATTTCCAATCTAAAACAGAAGGGAGCCCTACTTTTAATGATAAAATCAGGATCCTTTATCTGCTTCCTAGGATAGTCTGCATTTCTTCTAATGCTAGTTGCTGGGCATCTCAAGAAGCTTTGCAAATTGAATGTGAATTTACTGGAGTCGCCTACCAGATATTTATTAAGCTCGCCATTAAGTATTAAAGCTAGTCCATTCAAATAGAAGTACATTTTAAAAGACACGGCAAATCATAATTATAGTCAAATTATTTCTGACACTGAACACAAATTTGTAGAATTGTTGAAATGTAAAAAGGATATATTTCTTCTACTTTTTTCTGTATTTTTGTCTTAATCCCATTTTTCTTTCCCTCTTTATTTCACTTTCTATACATAATAGGTACTTAATTAAATATTCTACCTTACATGCTAGGACTTAGACTCCATGCTGCTTATTAAGGAGACTTCAGTCTAATTGGTTAAGTTGCTGGGCTTGCATACCTTGTTTTCAGACACCCTGTGGTGAGCACCTCACTGTAATGAATTTCTAATTACCACAATACCACCTAGAAAGCCTGTGTGAAGCCTAAGTGTGATGAACAGTTAACACTGTCCATTTAGTACTGACGGCTCAAACAGCAAGACCTGCTCACAGTGTGTCCACCAGCAACAATATCTTCTACTTATAAAATACCTTTTCCTCATAAGATGTTCCAATGCATGCACAAGGCTCTTATAAAATTTGACAAGACAGGGAATGAGCCATTTGGGCAGACAACCACAGCTTGGTCAGACAGATAGACTTTAAAGATTGCCTTGAAGGAGGGAAAAGAGATGGAGAAGTATAGAGCTGATTCCATAATTTAAGATCTTTGTAGCTGAAAGCATTGTTGATAGACAGATTAAAATCGGTCATGAATGAAATAACTGCAGAAAACTTAGAACATTGTAGTATCAAAGGAGATTTTAGAGATTTGGTGGTGTGAGCCACAAGAATGATTTGTAAATAAGGATGAAAATTTTAAAAGTAGGTTTTGCTTATATGTGAGCCAAAGAATTCAGTAAGCACAGGGACATTGGGTGAGCCGGACATGATGCAAGTTAGGAGGTGGACAGTAAGGTTTTTGATGACTACATGCCCATGGCACTCTATCCTTAGGCATCCCTGTTTCTAATCCATACATCCTCAGCCATTTACTTCCAGAAAAAAGTCAGAAACAATTTGCCATTTTTCTTACAGGTGATAAAAATGCTCTCAGACATATCCTTCTGTACCACCTCCTCAAAGGTGTTTATGTCGGAGGTGGTATTGAATATGGAGTTACCAGTCTACTGAAATCATACCAGGGCAGCAGAGTTATGGTGAAACTGGTGAGTTTTTTGACAAAATGTATATTTTAGCTCAGTGTACCTAAAGCTGGAATGCTCCACAGCATTATATTCTAAACCTTGTTATACATTTAAGAAAATAGCTGACTAAAATTTCACCCAATAAAATTGCAGCCAGAATTCTTTCAGGCAGGCAAAATTCAAGCAAGGTGAGAGTTTTTACTGTAATAAATGATAATACAGACATCAATCGATCATATGTCCTTAATACACGGAATAGCTAATCTTCTCACTATACTGTTAGGCTCGCCCCATATCCTGATCTGTTCCATGTCCTTCAGTAAGTTCATAGAAAGCTGAAATCATTTAGTATATGACACAGTGTGGAGCTGGAGGAACACAGCGGGCCAGGCAGCATCAGAGGAGCAGGAAAGTTGACATTTTGGGTCAGGACCCTTCTTCAGAAATGGGGAGGGGAAAGGGAGCTGGGAAATAAATGGAAAGAGGAGGGGTGGGGCTACAGAAGGTAGGTGGGATGGTGATAGGTGAGTGCAGGTAGGGAGTGGTGGGGATTGGCCAGTGAGGTGGGTGGGGCAGATAGGTGGGAGAGAAGATGGACAGGTTGTGTCAGGTCAAGGAGGCAGGGATGAGAGGGAGGGTTGGATGTGGGATGAGATCGGGGGTGGGGAGATTTTAAAACAGGTGAATTCTATGTTTAGGCCATCGGGCTGTAGGCTCCCAAGGAGAATATAAGATGTCACTCCTCCAGTTTGCGGGTGGTGTCATTGTGGCACTGGAGGAGGCCCAGGATGGACATGTCACCAGGGGAGTGGGAGGGGGAGTTAAAATGGTTGGTGACCGGAAGGTGTTGTCGTTTGTCATGTACAGAGTGCACATGCTCTACAAAGTGGTCTCCGAGCCTCTGCTTGGTCTCACCAATGTAGAGGAGGCCACATTGGGAGCAACGGATACAGTAGACCAAGTTGACAATGTGCAGGTGAACTCCTGTCTGATATGAAATATTTGTTTTGAGACTTGAATGGAGGTGAGGGGGGGCTTGTAGGGGCAGGTATAGCACCTACCGCGTTTGCAGGGATAGGTGCTGGGGACGGTGGGGCTAGTGGGGAGTGTGGAGTGGACAAGGGAGTCGCAGAGAGAGCGGTCCCTACAAAAGGCAGATAGGGGTGGGGAGGGAAACATCTCTTTGGTGGTGGGGCCGGATTGTAGGTGGCGGGAGTGGTGGAGGATGATACGTCGGATGCGGAGATTGGTTGGGTGATATGTGAGGACCAGGGGACCTCTCTCTTTATTTTTGTTGGGGGGAGGGGGTGTGAGGGCAGAAGTGTGGGAAATGCAAGAGATGCGGTCGAGGGCATTTTTGATCAATGGAGGGGAGAAGTTACGGTCCTTGAAACAGGACGACATCTGGGATGTTCAGGAGTGGAACGCTCCATCTAGGGAGCAGATGTGGTGGAGGCGGAGGAATTGGGAGTAGGAGATCGCATTCTTGCAGGAGGGTGGGTGAAAGGAGGTGTGGTCCAGGTACCTATGGGAGTCAATGGGCTTGAAATAGATGTCAGTGTTGAGGCCCTTACCAGAGATGGAGACGTAGACTTGGAGACCATTTCATATAGCATCTGAGCCTTCTGGTCGCCAACCATTTTAACTCCCCCTCCCACTCCCTTGATGACATGTTCATCCTGGGCCTCCTCCAGTGCCACAATGACACCACATGCAAACTGGAGGAGCAACACCTCAAATTCTGCCTCGCGAGCCAACAGCCCGATGGCCTAAACATTGAATTCACCAGTTTTAAAATCTTGGCAGCCCCGGCCTCATCCCTCATCCAACCGTCCCTCTCATCCCTGCCTCCTTGACCTGACACAACCTGTCCATCTTCTCTCCCACCTATCTGCCCCACCCATCCCAGTGACCAATCCCCACCACTGCCTACCTGCACTCACCTATCACCATCCCACCTACCTTCCCCAGCCCCACCCTTCCCAGCTCCCTTCCCCCTCCCCATTTCTGAAGAAGGGTCCCGACCCGAAACATCAACTTTCCTGCTCCTCTGATTCTGCCTGGCCTGTGTTCCTACAGCTCCACACTGTGTTGTCTCTGACTCCAGCAACTGCAGTCCTCGCTATTTCATCATTTAGTACACTGCAGTTTTTCTAGTGTGATACGGTCTTTTGTGTTTTATTATTCACACATGAACCTTGACACTGAATGTCAACAGTGTTTATAACACAGTGAGAAAGGGAAGGTAGAAATTTGTAATCAAATCCCCCTCAACCATCACCCCACCACCTCTCAAAACTTTGACTACCTCTATTTGTAACAGGAGTTGTTGAGTGAGAACTTTAAGCTATTTGTTTGCCCACAGCCTGTGAGGTACTATGGGTGCTGGTGGCAATCATCTGGCTGCGATCAACTAATTGAACACAGACAGTGGATTGTGCTGAGGCCTGTGTTGTTTGTAGGGTTTAGCCCATTGAGTAATGGGTAAACTAACACAACCTTTAGAGGAAACTCACTTAGCTTTAAAGGAAATTCATCATTCCCAAATTAAAGGTATGTGGGTCATTTATTGTAATGAAAACAGATTATTGATAAAAGCACTTAAGTGATCAATCTTCTTTGCTTTCAGGTAAACAACACAATATTAGTAAATAATGTGAAGTCCAAAGAATCTGATCTCATGGCAAACAATGGTGTTATTCATGTGGTTAATTCTTTACTCTTTCCAAAAGGTGAGATTTCTGTTTTCTCAATAATAGTTGAACTTTTTCCAATGTCACAATCAGACAAATCTAAGAGAAGTCATTGCTAAATGGGCATTTTCAAACTGCCTGCTGCCTGTTCCTCTGTTTGTGTGTTTCAGAACAGTAGAAAAACTGCATTGGGAATTTCCTCATTTGCCATAATGTTAGTTGTAATGACCACAAACCAAACTCCACTTTGAATGGTTTAGCAGGGATTTACTTTTATTACCTGGCAGATTTACAGCAGCAGTTCTGGAAATGCTCAGTGTTAATATATCATCTCCATATGGCTGAAGTCTCACAACGATTGAAATTTTAATCTCGCAGCGAGTCTTCCAGCTATAAGCCAGAAGGCTGAGAAAACTCTGACTCAGACATTTATCAGACCCAGGGCTTCATTTAACTGGATCCAGGCAACTAGCTAGTTGCCACGGTGAAAGGCCCCCAGGAGCTGTTGACCAATCAGAGTGCCAGCAGGTTGAAAACCTGAGCAATGTCTCTGGAAATGGTGCTCATAACTAGGATTATACCTGACTGAACAGGATGCAATGGAAACCCTCCCAGCAATCTGGTTGTGTCTGGGACACCATGCTCAGTCAGGCAAGACATGATGATGAATGGAGGGAATGGGATTGGTGATGGCATGCGGTGCTATGCGCATGGGCCATTAGGAGTCTCTCTGTGAATGTGCCAACATAGGAGGCCCTCCACCATCAGCCTTTAGGGACATCGTTGGGGTTCATCTGGTGGTGTCTGTATGCAATGGAGGGCTGCTCTGACTAAAATGCAGTGCTGACGACAGAAAGAGTCCTTAATTAGCCAATTAAATGCCTCTGGGCACACAGGCTGTTCTCCAATTGCTCTGCCATTGGCAAAATGGCATGACAGCAGGAAGATAATAGGCATTCATCTTCCCTCTTTAGTTTATATTGTCATCCCCTCCTCTAGGCCCTAAAGGCCAGATGAAATCCAGCTTAAACTGTTTCCCTGCTATCAATACAAATCAAGTTCCAGTCCAAGAGATGTACTTTTTCAAGGTTCGGTCAGAACTATTAAATATATCATTTGTTAATATAACAACAGATACTACTCCATCCAAAAATGTGTGAAGCGTTTGAGATATTTCCATGCAACCATTTTTCAGAAGTCATATTACACAATTGCGTGAGTTAAAATATTTCTTTCCTGTTCTCATTCTCTGAAAAGGAGAATTATTGTGAGTGCTTTGTATAAATGGTCATCATATGCAAGTTCTACTTTGTGCAAGATGAAATAATGTTAAATATATCACACCACGATTCACCAATATTCTGAATTAATGTGGATTAATCCATGATTTATTAATAAAATGCAGGTGTCCATTATTGACTCTTGAGACTGAACAGTGAATATTGAGATCCTACCCAAACAAAAGTGGGGAATCACAATTTCACACAATCTCAACAACTACAATTTGAGTATAGGACCATGCAAAGGAGGTTGAGGGGTGTCCTTATAAAAGTTTATAAAATCATGAGGGGCATTGATAAGGTGAATAGCAAAGGTCTTTTCTCTAAGACAGGGGAGTTCAAAACTAGGGGACATTTTTTAATATTAATGAAGAAAGTTTTAAAAGGACATGAGGGACAACTTTTTTACACAGAGGGTGGTTCATGTGTGAACTGCCAGAGGAAGTTGTGGATGCAGGTACAGTTACAACGTTTAAAAGACATATGGAGAAGTACATGAATAGGAAAGGGGGAGACATGGCCAAATGCAGGCAAATGGGATTAGTTTAGTTTGGCAACATGGTCGGCGTGGACTAGTCAGACCGAAGGGTCTGTTTCCATGCTATAAGACTGTATCATTCTATGACTCTATGACATAATTCACCTTTATGTTTTCTTAACCAAGTATGGGTGCCACTTTTGCCTTAAATATTAATGTAGCTGATTATTAAAATATTGTGATTGCAGACTTAGGAACATTTAATGTTCATAATTTAAGGTCATGACTTTAAATTTTGAATCTATTTTGACAGATCTTCCTGTAGGAAGTGATTCTCTGCTCAGGATTCTTACAAAAATAATCAAGTACATTGAGCTTAAGGTAAGTTCCTTTTATTTTTAAAATTCGAACATCAAAAATATTTGAGGCAAGTGTTTGTATTGCATAACACTTTGAATTAGTAATAATAGATACTGCTTAAATGAGATATATTTAACATTTAGATACAAGCAGTAGTGTTACAGAGAGGGTGGGCAGTTAAACTTGTGAGCAGCTAAGTCACACATGTTTTACATTCCTTTGGTCAAGATATTGGCCATATGTCATTAATAACTTTATGCTGACAGAGAATTCTCCTTTCATGAGATACTTAAATACAATAATTTATGTTTATGATCTTCCAAACTTGTATTATGAAATATAGTTCCTCAATTCCCAGGATAATACCATAGTGTAATGTAACACAATCAGCTGGATTTCACAATATCAGCAAAGCAACAATATATGCAGCTGACCAGGGAGATGACTGCTCACAGAGGTTTAGCAATCAAACTTCCCCTTCATTACAGTGGCATTAAGTCAGAGCAATTTTCAGACATCCAGCAGGTCAAGAAGCCAATCATATTGGACTATACTTACAGACAGCGAACTAGCAAGTAAAACGCACTGATTATCCTTCATTTTTCAATAAAGTTTTAAAAAGAGTGGAGTATAGTTTGGGAGATGCCTATGTGTTTAAAGTAGGTGGTGAAATATCATATGTAATTTTTTATAAAGATTATTATTTTAGTTTTTTAACACAATGGAGAAATTTGACTTTCTGGTAATATCAAATATGACTTTCAGGGCTTGCAGGTACATTCAGAGATAATTATGAACTTGGTGCACCATTGAAAACTCAGTTACTCCTCATTTTAATAAGCAATTCCTTTCCCAAGCATCCTTTAGCAAATTTAATAGCATAAAACTCTAAGTTCTCATCTGTTTAGTGATCTCTACTTGATTGCATCCTGGGGACTTCAAGAGCTCACCTTAAGGAAAAGTGTAAACTCTCTTGTGCACAAATCAGGGGTTACTATTAATTTCACCATTACATCTGTTTCACCTGCACATCCAGGCCATAGTCTTGCATTTTCCCACTAAACATGCTTTGTAGCCATGCCTTTTAAATATTTAGGACTTTGACCTTAAAATTAAGCAATCACAAAACTGAGAATAGTCTCCAAAACAAATAGACAGGTACAAGAGAGAGACTACTCCTAAAGCAAGTGGGAGGCGAGACTTGCAAATAACGGGGAAAGCAGGCGTTGGAGAACATTTTAAAAACTCCATCAGTTGTGAGAAGGGTATAGTAAGTTGAACAAGTGCCAGGAGAAATGTAATTTTAGAATAAAACTGTTTACCATGGACAAAAAATGTCTAAAAATTGATTTGGAGGCCAAAAGAGATGGGCAAGAGGGAATCTGAAAGGATTTAAGGCATACATAAGCAGTAGAAGCTTTTGGAATGAAGAGGTCTGATCAGAATTTGGGTGGCCAACAAGTAGAGAGTGGTTGCCAGCTGCCAAAGAGTTTTCTGTGATTTTAAGGCACTGGCCTCAGAGCAGGGGCTCCCAATCCCAGGTCCCTCGATCAAGCACAATGTGCCTGACTACAAGGGACACCCCAGAAATCTACAAGCACCGAGGCTTGTTTTCATGCTCCTGAGAAGCAAATCTGCATCGCAGCACTGAATGAGAAACACTGGTGGTAGTTTGAGGCCCAAAAGTGGCTATTATTCAGTAGACACTAAACTAGACCCATCATATAAACACTGGCTACAAAGCCAGGACAAAAGTTAAGATTTCCATGGCAAGTAACCCAGCTCCTGATTCCTCAAACCCAATATACCATCTGTAAGGCCCAAGTGAGGCATGTGATGGAATATTGCCCAAATATCTGGATGAATGCGGATTCTATGGCTCTCTCAACACCATCTACAACAAGGCAGCCTGATTAAATTGTCCCTATCCACCACATTCACTCTCTTCACCATTGATGTACAGTAGCAGCAGTGTGTATCAGTGTGTACTCTCTGTACAGTGTGTTTCTGTGTACAGAAACTCTCCAAGGATCCTCTGACAGCACCCTACCAATATTAAGGATAAGGACAGCAGATTCACAGTATCACAACTGCCTACAGGTTCCCTCCAAGCCACTTCCCAACTTGATATGAAATTATATCGCTGTTCCTTCACTGTCGTTGAACCACAAGTGGCATACTTTCCATGAATGAATTTTTAAACATAGCCCCTTTAGCCTCCTCTAGATCAAAGAAAATAAACCCTACTGATCCAATCTTTGCTCATAATGAAAATTCTGTATTGCTGGCAACAACATTGTGAATCTTCTTTGTATTCTGTCAGATACGACCACATAACTTCCTGTAATAAGGCAACCAGAACCACATGTGGGACTCTCGCCACTTTCTGCCTAACATTTTTATAGAGTCCTCATGTAACCTCCCTGCTTTATGACTCTACCTCTCAACTAATAAAAGAAAGTAATGTTGATGCATTCTTGACCAGCTTATACATGTCCTGATACCTTCAGGGACCTCTCGACATGCAGTTCTGTGTTCACTTATACTTTTTCTCAGAATCCTCTCATTTATTCTGTGTTCCTTTGTCTTATTTGTCCTTGCCTCTTTGTTTTTCTGGATTGTATTCGAATCACCAGGTTACTGTCTACCTCATCAGTTCATTGATACCTCTCACAGTCTTTAGTTTCTTACTTACAACCAAGCACATGGCTAAGCCTTGTTTGCCCTAAATACCTCTTAATCTTTCCCCTTAGATTGAAGTCTAAATCATCGATATGTACCCCAAGCAGAAAAGTAAGCTGGCTCTGATCCCCACAGAACCCCTCTGGTGGCCCAGTCACAATTACAGCAGTCCAGTTGACCACAACACACTGCTTCCTGGCACTGGGCCAATTTTGGCTCCAACATGTTACTTTCTCGTGGATGCCACGTGCATTTGATTAACTGGTCAGTCTGCCATGTGGGACCTATGCCAAAAATCTTGTTAAAATCCTACATCAAGCACATGGATCATCCTTTTTACTTCTTGAAGAATTTCTATCAACTTCAAGATGTTCTATTGCTGTTGGTGATGAGACTTTCTGTTAGTTCCCCTAGTTTAATGAAAAATATGGGTATGACACCATGTCACTGTGGAAGCTAGGCAGTGTTCAATCAAATTCATAAATGCGGACTAGCATTTTATGAGTTCTTTACAGGTAAACATCAATTTCTTCTGATGGCTGTTGCACACAATGTTATTTCAGAGGAATGTAAATTTAAAAAATTTCCTTTATCAAAGAAGATTAAGTCAGGTAATATATAACACAATGACATAAGGTATGTTTGTTTTCTGTTTTTCTTTGGCTAGTATGTCCCAGGATTCACCTACAAAGAAATCAGATTGCCCATCGTCAGTAAGTTCTTTAACTGTTAGCAATATTTTTGAAAGTTTGAAATTGTTAACATTGTTGTTAATACTTCTTGCTGTAAAACATTTGTTTTTATTGAAATTATCAGTTTAAGATTTGAGTACAAAAATATATTAGGTGATTTGAAACAGAAAAAATTATCGAAATTATAAAACGGAAAGTTTAAGAGAATGAAGGTGCCGCACGAGCTGTTGAAAATATATTTGTCATGGTTATCAGCACTCACTTGTCTTCAAGCGGCGCTGTATTATAGCCTGAAAATATTCAATTCCAATGAATCTGGACTACCAAAATCAAGTCTCTATGTGTCCCTTAGAAAATTTTTCAGGAGTTGCCATTGCCAGGATTCCCCTACGCAATCTGACCCCACATCAGACAATTTCATGAACAAAATAAAATGCTGACAGTGAGGTTTCTGATTCCTCACTGTAACCCTACTGGGACAGCCGTTGGCCTATCCTTCCCTTCCCAAGGAATGTAAGTAGAAGTTGAGTGGGGAGATGGGGTGGATAATATTGTGGACAACAGAGGTGAAGTCACTGAGTGACTTTCCTCCAATTTATTTCTGCTTCCTGAGTCTACCATGAGATGAGTGCTGGTGGTGACAGTCTCAATTCTTCCTGAAGAAGTAAAGGATTTTGTAGCATATGTTTCTCTCCTTCAAATCTCACCTTACTGCTCTTATTATGTGGTCTTTAATCTGCCAAGGTGCCAGTTTGTAGACCTGCAGGTCTCTTCTTCCTTTTAAATTTCTGAATGCATCTTCTGATGCTGCCTTAGCACTAGAAGGCAAATCTTGGACCCTGCATCTTCTCATTTCTCTCAGATTTACCCTGTTTGGGGCTTAAATTCTGCAAGGTTTGTAAATGCCAAGCATGTCATCACTCAAGCATGTGAGTGTAACTTTTGATCATGATCTCCAGCTTAACATTCATCTATTTTCCCTTGGTTTTGCATGCTGGTGTCATGGAATAGTCTCCAAAGATTGGCAGTAACTTGAGGTTAACCATGGTCAATGGGATTCTTGGAGACCACCAAGACAAATGACCTCGATAAATTAGAAGCCATGATGTAACTTTGATACAAATCAATACCATGGGCCTATGCACCAATAGAAGTAGATGAAGAGTTAGGAAAAGAAGAGTTATGACACTTTGCTAGAGGTGCTCCACCCAGTTCACAGGTGGCACTACTGTTTATGGTTAGTTTTAATTTGGGAATGTACTCCTGTGTATCAACTGCTCTTGGACTGGCATGCAACCTTTGTGCACATAATCAATTTGTAACTTACATGACACCCGCAGCCAACAGATGAAATGCCAGAAAGCAACCTCGAGTTCAGCAAACTGCAAGATGAATCAGTTAGCTGTGTCAAAAGGAAATTATGCTTCTGAATAGAACAGAATGTGGGAAAGCTAAGACTGGATCTGTCTATCACTTGCTGCATATTAAAATGAAAATCTAAATGGTATTAATATGAACCTGAATGTACTGAAAGAATCAATGAAGTCTCTTTGGAAGTCTCCCAATTGAATAATTCCTTGTGGTTTGGGCTCGAGTGTAATGTCCAAATAGAAGTTGATTGCTCACATGACAGTAGCACAATAATCGTTGTGTTTATATAATATTCATATAACCTGTGTTGCCTGCATACTCTAGGTTTTAAAGCTTGGCTTTTTGGAGGTGTTGGACTTTCTTAGAATCTCTGGTTACACAATGGTTGCTTCTCAACTATCCCATTTTATCTATGTCTCCCATGGCCAGAAGATCTTCCCAGTACTTTTAAAGGACCTTGACCTTTGATATAAATTATGCATGATGCCCAGAATCTAAATTTAAGTGAGGTTCCTTCTCTCAAAACCGGCATAATGGTTATGTTGATGGTTTATCTACTGATCAGTTCAGTCTTTTTGATTTCTGACATTATATAGGAGATGCTGTGGACCATTCCAGGTATTTAATATAATATTGTATCTAGATTGTATGCAAGCTACTTGTCTACTTCTGGCTAATTATCTCACATCGCTGACCTGTCCGATTACAGTTAATTTCCTATTGATCCAGCTATTCTCCAGTGCTAGCACATCCAATTTGGACAGTGGCCCCAAGGGTTAATTATACTGGATGGGTAATGTGGCACAAAGCAAATTCTTGTCTTCTCTCAAACAGTTTAGCTTTTAAACTCTGGCAATTATTTATTCCCCTTTCCAATCACTTTCATCCTAGCTGTTTCGCCTTCAATTTGCAAACTTACAAATTGCAAAGCACCAATTTGTTTACTGGTAATTTTGTGAATTGTGCGAATTTCATGGGGGTTAGAGATATGATGCGGAACCTTCCAAAAGGCTGCGATAAATAGGCAGAACCTGCCTGTTATGCAGCTGGTTCTCCAATCGGCGACACACACCACGAAAATGTATCAAAGTAACAATGACCATAATGGTCAATACAAATTGAAATATGAGGAAAGCGTAGGAGACCATACGAGCCCAAAAGGACTGCCCTACATTATACACCACATCCCACCATTTGTGGTCTCCTAAAGTTTTGATTCCTTTCTCAATATCTTTGTTATCCTGTTGCATGTGAACCAAATGTTCTTGAGAGGTAGCTGTACGTTGAAGGATCGACTTCAAGCTAATAGACAGAGGGGGAATTGGGTGGCCAAAATGGACCACAGACTTTAGAGTTTCCTCCTGAAGTGGTAGCTCCAACTGTATTTCTGTAACGTTGTGCAAGTGAACCGGTAATAACATTTTACCTCCAACTTTGACTGGTTCAACTGGGTAAAGACAGAACATAGGGATATTAATTGGGCATAAGGTTTCCCCATGATGTAGATGTGAGGCACTGGTTGTAACACAATACCTTCCCCTACCTACATAGGCAGTTCTTGCCTGCCCAGGACTCCATTGGCTTACAGCAACTGTGCAGTTTGGTGAGTGCTCGTCCAGTGTGAAGCCACAGGCAGGGGTGGTATGCTGGTACACATCACACCGACACACCCACTCGTTTCCAACTTGTCGACAACACTGTAAGTCTGGGGCTAGCCATGTGCCTTTTTTGTTGATCAGCCATCGAGGATGGTCCCTGAATTCCTTAAAGATGGTGTTGCCATTGGAATGTTCAATGATTCCTATGGATTCTACCTTGTACAATTGCGCGGGAGGGGCTGTGGAGTTCAAGATGATTGGAACTGCCAATAATACTGGGACCTGACCGTTAGCACCCTGAGAGTGAGCGCGAGGGGCGAAAAAGGCCAAGCCATGCCGTCTTATCCGCTTATATTCTTCTTCCGTCTTATTGGACCCTAACCATGTGGCCAAGTGGTGATTCTTGACAAAGGCGGGAATGCGATTCGATTCAAGGTCTGATAATCCCTTTTGCAGTAAGGTTAGCACAAAGTTCCCATACATACTACAGGTGACTGCTTTGGAGATATTCTGTTGTGCGTACTCCTGATTGTTATCCACAATGATCTCATTCACCTTATTGACGATGGACTCCATGGCTGTCACAATTTCTTGGGTGGATAACAGAGTTTTACTCTGTTCATGGATTAAGTCTCCACCTTGGTCATTTAATTTAGTCAGAAGTCCCTTCAGTTGCCTCCGCATGACTTCATCGTGCTCCCACATTGATTCAACATCTATACGGTTCAGGCCAGCTATGCTTGCAGTTGCTCCTATCCCTACCCATTCAGCCAGGTCTCTACGCTTGCGTGGCACTTTCAGCCCTTCACCCATGTTTGGGTCAGGGCTTCTCCAATCTGTTCTTTGGTTCCTTGCCTGTGAATCCCATACCAATTCCTTCAACATGAGGTGAAACAAATGGAGATAGTTAGTATGGCACAAACCATCTGGCATAGGCAGACAGCTTAAATTAAAAACCACTGGAACAATTTCAAAGCGGACATCATTGTACAGAAACTCTCCCGATTCTATCACTTCTAACCCATTAGTTTGTGGATTAGGTAGTAACATGGGACAAGGAGGATCCAAAAGTCTGGCAGCAGTTTTAGCAGGTTTCTTGATGGCCTCTAACCTCACATGAGAACTGCCATAGGCACTGTCATCATCTGGTTCGCAACGGATGTTACCACTGTGCCTCTTCCAGAATTGGGGCCAGTTTAATGTTTGCACTATTATCAGACGGTTCTTTCCATCAGGTTGTTGGAATATCTTCCCTTTATATGGCACCCCAACATCCCCTACAAGTGGGGCAAACATGCCAAACTGGTCCTGAAACCATCGCCACTGGATCCCCACTGCTGTTCCATTCCCATTACAGATGCATTTTATCTGAACCCCCTTCCCTTCCTCCACACGTGCACCAATAGTTCGATTCCTATACAACACTCCTTCCATGTAGCCAGGACTGGCTATCTCCCAGTGGCAGTTCCATCGTCGGCTCAGACGTTCTGTGATTTCTTTCACTCTTTCTTCTTCCCTAGACTGATTGTACTTATACTCTTCATCTTGAGGGCCATGCTGGCACCAACCTTTAATCACTGCCGAGTGGCACACTTGAAGCATGCCTAAAACAATGATCATGCACATCCACCAAATAATCCTGGCCATACCTAGGAAGTGATCAAAAACAGTATCAGGTTACTTGTCAGTTCAAGCATATAAGAAATAGGATCTCTCTGTATCCAATAGGATGCTGGCTGATTATTGATTTCGGTTCCACTTTCTCACCCAAAATTCACATCCTGTGATTTCTCTGGTGTTGAAAACTCTATCTCAGCCTTGAGTACTCAATGATTAAGCATCCATAGCCCCTGAAATAAAAAAAATCCAAAGATTCACAACCCTGTAACTGAACAATTTTCTCTGAATCTGGGTATTAAATGATCAACCCCTAATCCCTAAACCATACCTCTTAGTTCTAGACTATCGAAGTGGAGGAATCAGCATCTGGTCTGCCAAGCCCCTCAGAACCAACCTGTTTCAATGAGATGACCTCTTATTCTTCCCTGTGCCAGAGGGCATTGGCCTAATATGCTTAACCTGTCATCATAGAACAACTCTCTCATTCGACTGTCTCTAAATCAAATATTTCCTTCCTTAGATATGGAGACCAAAGTTGAACAGGAGTCCAGAGATGGTCTCATCAAAGCATGATACAATTGTAGCAAGGCTGCCTTACTCTTGTACCCTAAGCTTTTCACAATAAAGATCAATTTGTTGTTTCTTTGTAACATCTTGCTGTACCAGCATGCTAACTTTTCGTGTTTCTTCATGCATCCTTGTCATGAGAAGAAGGGGTCATCATCTTCTGATTCAGGGTTGAGGGAGTCTATAAGCAATGGACATTGATGGTGAGATAATGGTGATGGGGTGAGTTATCTGCCTGATAGTTAAAGAAGAGGTATCCCACAAAATATTGAAAAAATAAATGAAAATGGTAAGGGATGCTTTTCCAATAGATTATGGAAAATCAGAAATGTATCAGTAAGTAGGAAGGAGAATTTATGGTGAGTTTATGGTGCGGAAAGATGGATCTTGCCAAAAGGACAAAGTGAAGAAATTATTGGAACACCTGGCGCAAAGAAGATTAAACACTTAATGTATTTGCACTATAGACCATATTGACATTGATACAGTAGGAAAGTATCAGCTATGGCAAGAAGTTTAAGGTGACTACAACATGTGTTCAATATGGCTGAAGATGGATGGAAGTGATAAAAATTATAGAATTATTTTGTTATAGAAGTAATAGGTTTTGGAGTAATTATGAAGACAAAGGAGTTATATAATGGAAAACTAGAAAGTAGGACAGTCCAAAATGATATTGTGGAGAAGGCCCTCAGAGGTTGTACATAATGGACTGCTTGGTTATGACAGCTGAACACTGATGCTAAGATCTCGTAAATACTTAAGTGTTTACTGAAATTATTGTGGTTTAAAAGTGGCGTGAAAATAATTAAGAGTTCTGAGGAAAGGTCGCTTGACCCAGAACGTTAATTCTGATTTCTCTCCATAAATGTTGCCAGACCTGCTGAGCTTTTCCAGCAATTTCTTTTCTGATTTACAACATCTGCAGTTCTTTCAGTTTTAAAAAAATTAGATGAGTTTAATTTAACAAATAATGCAGCAAAAAGAACACTTAATATAATGACTATTATGGTAAGATATGGTGCATCTGTTTGCAAGGTACTTTTCATTTATTCAGAATTTATTTTTGACAGTGATTTCTGCATAATGACAAACTCAGTTTTAAAATCAGTTTAATTCCAGAGACAGATGTGTATTCCTTTTTAAAAAATGTGTTTAGTCATTTTACATCTGTCTTCCACTTCTACGGGAGTATGCCTTAGGTCACAGATTGTTTTTAAACTGGAAGAAGTGGTGATCGATTAATGTGTTATAGCTCAAGGATACCAGCCTTTAAATCATATTATCCTTGCATTTTCAGCTCGTATTATCAAGGTCATTTCTCAGCCAAACATTACCAGAGAGACTGGGACAACTATTACTCGAGTGATTCCATATGGTAGACAAACATCTACATGCACTGTATTTGCAACAGTTTTTTTTATAACCTAACTGTTCTTTCGCTAGTCTTTCCTCATTTCATCTCTCCCCTACCTTGAAGCTAGTGGGGCAAGGGCTTTGTGGAGGTGTGAACTCCTGAATTATTTTGCCTGTCTCACGAGGAATGATAAAGCACGGTCAGATATTTGTGGTGTAAATCAATGCAAATAGTGCACTGATAAAATATTGTAAAGTGCATTAAGTCATGTAACTTGACAAGAATTTATGGGAGAAGGATTTACTTGCTTTGCCTCCCAGCATTGGAACCTTAGATTTTTGCAGTGCAGAAGGAGATTCTGTTACTGTTTTTTGTGACTCCTCTTTGATGGAGCAATCCAAGACTGGTTCCACTATCCCACACTTTCCCCATAGCCCTGTATCATCCACCGCTTCAAATATTTTTTGACTTCTGTATTTGAAAGATGGTATGGCCCTTACCTCCTTATGCCATAGCATCACATCTCCAATAACCCAAAATAAACAGTTATTTTTCTAACCCCTGTTCTTACTCACAATGATAATTTTAGAATGACGATTCCCCCAATTGTTGACTGCCCAAGTATAAGGAATGATTAACAGATTTAAAACTGCGAGGAGCATGTTTAATATTTGCACGCAGCAGGCATCAATTTGCGCCGGTAATGTGAACTTGTATAATTATAATGTTAACCAAGTGAATAAAAGGCATAAGGAAATGAACACTTCTCTACATAAAGCTAAATAAGTAGAAAATATTGTTAATCTGAACCATTGCAAGCATAAAGCTAATTTTGTTGCCAGCATTTTACCTGATGGAAACTGGGGGAAGGGGAAGTTTGATTGGTTGCTCGACAACAGTAGTCAGTGTTGACCCCAGTGTATTTCCTAGTGTTGAGTGCATATTGAAGTTTCAGCAGCCTCCAATCCAAATTTCCATTGTATCTAAATACCAAAGTTAAGGAAGTTGGCTATCGATGGCTGCAACAGCCTCAAGGATGAGGCATCATTGCCAAATCATCACTCACAGAGTTTGTTTATTAACTATCTGGAAATAATGTGAAATTCTGATATAATCTTGACTGTACTGACTCTGATGCTGCATTTGATGATGAAGATTTCAGGTAAGTGATAGTTGCAGTGGTTGGACAGGGCTTGGAAAATCCAAAATAAAAAAGATCTAACAAATTTATTACTGGTACTGATTGGGCGCAGAATGTCCCACTACTAAATTGAATGCCTTCTGTCCATTTTATACTCAGATGTAACATCCTGCTGAATTCAATTCACCTCTAAGTGAGCTACATGGATATAAATGAGTGAATAATGATGTTACATTAGGGTAGCAACAAATGTCCTGTAGTCATGGTGAGGTACTGGACAGGGGATAAAGTCTTGCATTTCTACAATCTTAAGTTTTACCTAGGGCATCCAAATAAGGTTCTGTGATGCTCAGGACTGAAATACATTTGACAGAAATCAGAAAGCAGGGTCCACTTTGAAAGACATTCATTTGTCATTACTTGAGTCCAACTGAAATTACATTTGGATCCCATCCTGTTAAGCACAAGATTTCAAACAAATTGAATGTTTTAAAAAACTAAAATGATTCAAAATCAAGTGAGTTTTTAGTTTCCCTTACCTTAGTTGATCTTTCAAAAATTGAAAATCAGAAGATATTTGATAAACCATCAAATCCAAATGGCAGCAGAGATAGAATTAAGAGCCACAGGTAAACATGTATCCTGATGCTGATGCTAGTAACACTATTTGAAATGAGTGAACAATTGCTTATAAAATAGTGGCCTGTGAAATTTGATACAAATACATGAATGGTGATACTGTATTGTGTCGGGAAGTTTCAATTTTATGTTAGGCTACAATCAACAAAGGATATCCTTCATTTACTTATCATTTTAAACACTTTTTTAGGCTTGAATCTGAAGGAGTGGATTCTAGTTAAGTAACAGCCCAAATATCTTTTGCTTCTCAGAAACTAAGGTCACAGAAATTACAAGAATTGTTACAACTAAACCAGAAATAAAAGTAATTAGTGGAAAGGTCATTCAAACCGGTGAGTTCTTCGTAATTTAACATGATTATTTTGATGGAGTTCTGTAACATGTCTACTCATCTCATAAACAAGTTTTCGAGTAAATAGAATGGGACATGAGACAGCAATTCTTAACTTATTTCATGGGTGCACTTTAATTTGATGTACCTTGAGAAATAAATTATGCATTAGAAGCTTTAACAATGCCATTAAAGGAAGAGGCATATTGGCATGGCAGTGTCAATGAGGGTGCTAAGAGAACTCCAGGGAAAAAGCAGAATATCAGGTGTGGCTCCAGCTGCAAGCTATGTGAGGGGTGAAGAGGGGACATAAGTTTCTAGTCACTGTGAGTGTGCGTGAGAATTGCCCAGTGAAACTGGAACTAGGAAAAAGCTGGTGTGCTTAGGCCAGTAGGAGAGATTGGAATATCAGGCCAGAGGGAACAGCAGAGAGAGAAATAGCAAAGATCACTTCAGTCCCCAGCAGGAAGTGAATGGGAGGTCAAACCTGGTCATCTTCCAGGCAAGATGGGAGGGAGGGAGGGATAAATACTACAGAAGAAAATGGATGGAATAAATGCTGGTCTAGTGAGCAATATCACAACTGTGAAAGACTTTTATAAAATAAGGACCCTGAGCCAGGGTGGAGAGGAGTGAAAATTGAACAAGTGAAAGAGATAGGGACTGTAGGGAAAATGAGGGAGCATCTAAACCACAAGAATGCACAAAGAGCCAGAAAATGCAAGAGTATTAACTTGTAGTGGTACTGGTAAAGATAATGGTACTTTTAAGTGGGAGGCCTTAGAATTACAATATTGGCAATGCTAGGATGTTTAGAGATCTGTGGAGTAAATACTGGTGAGTGAAAACAAGATAGATATTTAATAGCACTAGGCAGTTATTGCAAACTGGGTGCAATCCATGCACTAGAACATGTAAGCCTAGGTACGATTGAAATTGATGCTCAAGCCACATTTAAATTAGGTATGAGGGCTGCTGGTCCTGACTGCAAATCCACAGGTAGCTCAGTAATGAAGCAGGTACGGTTATAGTTCGCTGCAGATGTTACTGTCAGGTGAGTATGGGAAGAGGGCGAGCTATGATCTTCAGGATCGCTGTGAAGACAGAGGAACAACCTTACTCTTCCTGAAGTGGAAAGAAGTACCATTCACCACATAAGACTCTAACCATAGACCTTAAGGTGTAGAAGCAGAAGTAAATCATTCAACTCATCAGTCTGCTTCTCCATTCAATGAGATAATGGCTGATCTGATAATTCCTGCCCTTTCCTCATAACACTTGGTTCCTCATTAAAAATCTAGCTATCTTAAATATACTTAATGATCCAACCTCAACAATTCTCTATGATAAAACATACCACAAATTCACTACCCTCTAAGAGACAATAATCTTCTTCATCTCTGTCTTAAATGTGCACCCCTTATTCTGCGATGATGCTTTCTGGTGCTAGATTCTCCCACAAGGGGACATAACCTTTCTGCACCTACCCTGCCAATTCCTCTAAGAATCATATATGTTCAAAACACCTTGATGAGATTAGAAGCAAATCTGCTGTCAGCGACTACATATTCTCACCCAAAAAATGATTGTTGCCTCCTTTCCTCTGCCAATTGCTGTCAGTTTCCTCTGCCTTCTCTCTATTACTCCCCTCCCTCCCGATCACTTACCTTTCTCATTAAAGAACTACCTTTGGGCCACTGCAGATGACAGAAAGTATCAACATTCAAATCACCAGGCAAGTTGTCTGGAGACATCCAGTTCACTGGTATGATGTAAATGAGACCTGTTGACCAGTATTGGGTCAGTATCAGGATTACCTGTTTCAGTCCAAGGATCATTCAGTGTTTAAATTTACCTTAAAGCTATAATGATAGATATGCCAGGATTGGAAACAGAAAGCATGTGAAGTTTAGAATCATCTTCCCAATTGGCTACATTAGAATATTAAAAACATTATTGATATAGTTCCAGCAGAGACTTAACGTAAGTTAATTATTCTCTCTCTCTCTCTCTCGACATTGATTCAGGATCAATTGAACACAATGCTGAGACCTTTACAAAACTTGTTGAAGGAGGAGGTTTGTAGTTTTTTTTAAGAATGCTTAATGAAATTTTGTAATTTCATAACTGATAGTCAGGGTGGTGCCCTTTGTTAATGGTACGGTAACCATTTTGTCAAAACACACAGAAAAAGGGCACAGTCAGATTAAGGACCGAGATCACTTATAAACGGAAGCTGCCAGGACACAGGTAGAAGCTAGGAAGCAGGCATAGGTAACGCTGCATTCTGTAAATCAACCTGTTATCAATAAAAACATTTGTGTCTAATTCTATACTCCATCAGCTGCCTTGTAATCGGATTAGGGATTTAGAGAGAATTCTTTCAGTTTCCCACCTGCCACATTGTCTATTTTACCTCTCTAAGGAGATTCTTTCCTCTGTACATCATGAGACATTCTTGCAACCTCCGACTCCTGGGAATGCTTGGTAGATGTAGATTTTATTGTCACTTGTACTCAAGTACAGGAGTACAATGAAAAGTGTATAATGTCGCCACACATGGTGCCACCTTTGGTAGAAAGGTACCGAGGTGCAAAAAAAACTTAGGATCAAAGTAATAATAGTAACAAAGTTTAAAAAGTAAACTATTACCTTCATAGAATAAGTAGAAGAATAAAGAAGTAAAGTAATAGTTAAAATTAAGATGCTTCCTAAAATAAATTAGAAAAATAAAGGAAAAAGATTAAAAGTTCAGCGGTCTTTTGATGAATCCTCGGCTTAGCTCACTCTCCGGGAGACCTCAGCTACCTGTTCTCGATGCTGCCGCCACAGATACCAGGAGAGCTCCTTCACCAATCACCTGGCTGGCGATGCCATCGCTGCTGCTGAAGCTGCCAACTCCCTGATCTCCTCCTGCTGCCTCCTGAACCTCCTGAACATGCCTGGGCAGGACCCACTCACATGCCAAGATACCACCATGCTGGGTTGAGAGACCAGGCCGAGGCACAACCACACCGTGCTGAGAGGCCACCAAGCGCCAGGCCTAGGGACTGGGCCAAGAGACTGCCATATGCCACCAAGAGACTACCACACCGGGCCAAGAGATCACCATGTGCCACCAAGACACTAGGCCAAGAGATCATCCAAAGGCAGGGCCAGGCCGAGCCGAGAGGATGCCTTGGCGGGTCCATGCTGAGGCCATGAGTGAGGAAAGAAAAGAAACACCAAGAGAGGAAAAAAGGGAAAGTAAAACAAGGAGTGGATGAGCTCCGGCTGAGGCATCCTACTCTGTCACCATCTTGGCATAGCAACAATGGTAACACTTTAGGGTAGTTTTTAATTAACGGAAGCTTGTTTCTGTAGAGTTGTTTACATGGATAATGACATTAAATTTTTAAACATTTGCAGAGCAGCAGTTCAAAATGACATTGAAAAAGAACATCCTGTTTTGATAATTATGCCTCATTCCCTCATAAGGCTAGCTGCTTATTCTATATACAGCACTGAGCTAGCTGTTCATGCAAGAATTTGACAGTAAATTGGGAGTTCAGATTGTACATATGGAAGGCTCTCTACTGTATAATCTGTGTTTTCGCATTGAAGTGACAAATTTAAAATGTGAGGATAGGAAGTCTGCCTATCAGAGTTTGTATTGCCTTCATTACTAAAGTGGCAATGGATTGATTTTATCAGAGGTTGTGGTTCGGTTGTCAACATCTTTCCCAGTCACTGCCAGGCACAGAATACAGTCTGTTGAATCTGAAGGTAATTTGAGCAATAAGATGCCAGTGAGTTGGCATGATATTTTGTGAGCGAAAAAAGAAAAGATTAATCCACTTTTCACTTCATTTAAAACAATCCATTTTACATATGGGGTGGCATGGTGGCTCAGTGGTTAGCCCTACTGCCTTACAATGCCATGGATGCAAGTTCAATTCCAGCCTCGGGCAACTATCCGTATGCTGTTTGCACATTCTCCCTGCATCTGTGTGAGTTTCCTCCCACAATTCAAGGTGTGCAGATTAGGTGGAATGGACATGGGAAATGAAGGGTTATAGGGTATTGGTCTAGGTGGGATGCTGTTTAGACAGGCAGTGTGGACTTGATGGGCCAAATGGCCTCCTTCCACACTGTTGGGATTCTATGAAATCCTGTGTGTTGAGTGGCAGGTTTAATGGTGGCTATATTTTAGGATTAATGCTCTGATTCAATCCCAGGCTCCCCGTCCCACTGCTACAAATGCACCCAACTGTCAAGCACTTGCTGAAGTTCAGGAGACACTCCAGGCTGAAATACAAAGCACAGTCTTGCCTCCCTTTGGCTAATCAAATGGTCACAGTTACAAAGAGCAATGGCAGGAAGCCAGGAATACCAGCTCATGTCATCTTACACATTTTTCATACTTGACTGTCTGATTTGGAATATAAGAAATGTTAGATCTAGATAAAGTGGACACTTCACAAAACTCAATGCTCTTTCCCCTTGCCCCTGATAGAAATCAGGTAGAGGGGCTCAGTAACAATGCAGCAGGAGACTTAATCACCCCATGCTACATGCCCAACCCATCTCCTCCCAAAATATGACTTCCTGATTGTAATTTTAAACTGAAAGGGACTAGGACACCCATCCCAGGCTGGAGGGGTCCTCTGTCCACATGTTGTTCAGACTCTGATGGGGTGGCACGATGGCTCAGTGGTTAGCACTGCTGCCTCACAGCACCTGGGACCTGGGTTTGATTTCACCCTTGGGCAACTGTCTATGTGGAGTTTGCACATTCTCCCCGTGTCTGCATGGGTTTCCTCCGGGTGCTCCGGTTTCCTCCCACAGTCCAAAGATGTGCAGGTTAGGTGGATTGCCACGCTAAATTGCCCGTAGTGTTCAGGGATGTGCAGATTAGGGGGAATGGGCCTGGGTGGGATGCTCTGTTGGACTTGTTGGGCCAAAGGGCCTGTTTCCACACTGTAGGGATTCTATGATCTATGCTATAATCAAGGCTGGATCCAAGGTTTGAACCTGAGACCTGAGCAGAGAAATGGTGAGCCTTGCTGCCGGGTCGAATCTCCCAAAACTGGATCAAGAGACAGGCGACATCGGGAATGATTCCTTTTGTTTTTCAGAGTTTTCTTGGCTTTGAGAAGTAGGAATGCTTAGATCTCCAATGGCTTGAACTTGCTACCCATCTTCCAATTGGATACCCAGTCAATCCAACACCATTTACCTGACCACGGAAGCATCTTCCTGCAAGCCGTTAACACTGGCCTGACCACCTGAATTTCCCTAACCACCTCCCCAGGCTGAGCTCTGACCAGGTATCTAAATGAAGCCATAAGGTCAAACCCTGCCTGGTTTTCAGGTGGTTAAGACAAAAATCAAAAGTGATTTCAATAAATTAGTAACGTTTTCTTTCCTTTAAAGCATAACTCGCTCAGAAGCAGTGAAACTTTACTGAAGCATGTCACTGTCTTTGAGGATAACTATTGATTCAGTTTTGAAATGACATTTTCTAGTGAAGAACAGTGATGCAGTCTTCAATACGATCCTATGTAAACACATCGGGGCCATGCCTTATAGGGAATAAAATCAGAAATCATTATTGAGTCTTCCCAGCTATGGAAGGATGTGGGTAATGGTGAGAAATCTGGGAGAATTGCGTGAGAGCAGCAGTGATGAGCTTCTCAATGCGAGAGTAAAAGGTCCCTATTTTCCAGAAAGATTTGAACACCGAAATGAGATTCTCACTAGTGAATGGCAAGAGGCAAATTTGCATAATTAGCCGCCTCGCTATTATGTCATCTCACCTCACTGATATACAGTTTCCATTTTTCCGCCCATTGGAAGCAAACTGGAAGGTAACCATTCCTGACAACTCCAGCTCGCTGCTTGTCCTCCAGCCCTGCATCTTAGATAATAGCCACCAACATCTCAGGGCATGCTGTATGGATAGCAACCATATGCCCACCCCCATCCACCAGGACCTTCAGGTCTCCATCAGCAAAGAAGACAACAATTTCCCTCTCTCTGACTTGTCTGAAGCAACTAACAGGAATGGTGCAGGGCAATTGCAGACTGCCAGCACTTGACAAAAGGGCACCGACACCAGGAATCCTGGGTAGGCCCAGCCATGGCTGTGAAGGGTGCGTGTAAGTAATGAGGTGAGTTTGAGAATATAGCACGAGAAAACTCCCGAAAGCTCACAATGACAAATTATCCATGAAACTCGCCAAAATCAACACAACATATTTCTGTTGGTTTTGGGTTGTGAAGTTTTTTTTTTATTTGATCTAGCCTGAGGAGGTTAAATCCTTTTCTGTTCTGACAGCCGGCAAGGGTCTAAGTCTTATTAACTTTTGAGTCCGATGCAAGTTCAAAGGAAGTACAACTGCAGCATATTAAGGAGAAGGAATGTGTCCATCAGTTCATAGCTAGATTAGGTAACTATCTCAGGAGGAACTGCATGTTTTGAAAATTGTTTCATTTCCTGAAATAAAACGATTACCCAGAAATTATCCCATGAGATATTACAATATGAATGCTCCGTGCAATTGTCTCTAAGTCTTTTACCTACTACTTTAACAGAAGCATTAATTAGGAAATTAAAGTAACTGAGTTATTATATCTGTTAAAATATGCTACAAGAATTTAATATTAATTTAGTATTAAGTAATCGAACCATAACTATCACGTGGCTTATTGTTTATCTTATGCCTTGCTGTTCAATGACAGTAAAATACATGCGTCTTATTTATTAAGTATTTTGGTTCATAAATTTAGTTTCATCAGGCACAACTGAAAAATCATGTTGTTAATCTTCTTGATGATTACTATCAGTGGATCTAATAGTCTTTTGGTATTTCTGTACATCATATGTGTTTCCCTGTGGTGTCTGCAGTGAAATCATTTAAGATTCACCATTGACATGTATCTTGTCAGGAACACAGCATACCAAGTTTACCAGGATTTTTGAGGGTGATCCCAAATTACTTGAGGATGAAGAGATCCAAAAGCTCCTTCGTGGCGGTTAGTGAGCTGATGGCTCTGGCCTTTGCCTCCTGAAGCATGGACTCATAGAGTCTTCATTCCCTATATACAACCTTGCCCAACTAATTGTTTGTATTTCCTATCTCTGTATAGAATTTGCATCATTTTTTTGGGTCCAGTGCTGAAAGTTATTTTTCTCTGGACATGTGTTACTCAAACCCAGCATTTAAAGACTTCTTCTTCATTAACAATTTAAGGAAACAGTTCTTTATATTTATTCTTAAACTGATTTGATGCCGGATATCAAAATCCAGCCTAAAAATTTCTGCCTAACCTCCATTAACAATCCAAGGTTGCATTTGTTTATGTCCACTTGACACTGGAAACTTATTTTTAGCTGTATTCACCATTTGATTAATATTAAAGGAGATTTTTCTTTTCTGTGCTCACTGTCAATATTTTACTCCGAAGACTGATAAGACTTTCAAAGGCTACCATTTCCCTTTGTTGATGAATATGGTGAGGGTGTAGCCCTTATATTTATTCATTAGCAAAGGTGATACATCATTTTATATTAGATGCTAATTTCAAAGGTGATTTCTAGTTCACACCCCCTCCCCAGATTTATCATTGGGTACAACCTTTTGTTTCATCTATTCTGGTTGTTTGCCATGGAGGTCAGAATATTCAAACGCAGCCAGTGGAAACCTCCTCCCCTACATTCTCCTCCCCATTAACAATCTTTATATTCGGCATCAAAATTATTGTGTTCTCATTAATGAATTTATATCCACCTTCTTTCCCTCCCATTAACAATCTAAGGACATGTACATTTGTATTCAGTATATTGTGATGCCTGGCATGGTCACCTTCGAGAATATATGGTTAAAAATGGTGGTATGTGGCTTTCATGCCACATTGTGAGTTGGTTATAATAACCGAAATCACAAGTGATGCAGTAAGTCATTTCCCACAGTGAGCAACCTAGTGTTCCATTGCAAAGAGGAGTATGTTGCAACAGTGAAACCCTTTCACTGTCTTTCATTTCCATTCTTCATTTCTAGTAATCATGATAACAATTTTAACATATGAGATGTTATCACAAATTTCCAATAGCAACAAATTTATTAGCTCTGCAAAGGGCTGAAATGTTCATCGGACTTGTTTGGATGTTTGACTTCACAAATACAGATACAAAAAAAGTCACTCGACAAATCTGTGCTGTGTGAAGCATATTGAATTGAGGAAACTGCTACATTTTCAGTAGCATTGCTTTGGAATGCGGAAAATTTAATTAATTCTTAGTACTTAAGAACTATACAGCTAGCGCATCACGTTTAATGGAAAAAAAATAGATATTTTTTTGAGATTTAACCAAGCATGTCTTGATTCAGATTTCTTCTTAAAGGAACTGACCCATTCCTGTATTAATACTTGTCATGTGCCCACTATCAAGTACTGATGCTGTCATTAACTGTTACTTTGGCAGGCTCCACTTCCAGATTCACTAAAATTACGATTGAGGGTGAACCGCAGGCAGAGCATGAAAGAGAAATTACAAAACTTATTCATGCAGGTAAGAACATCTTCCAAAAGTTACATCACGTTTGCAATTGTATTGAACTCGTTCAACAGACCTAGGAAGATACATGAAACAAAGTTTTGGTGATAGTCCAAACTTAGATTGATTTGCATATTGACTTCTTCTTGTGGCTTAATTTTAGTTTGTTGGGTCTTTCAAGAAAGCTTAGTCTATAGAATGTGCTAGCTCCAGAAACCAAGCAGTAGAACCACCACAGTGACTGCGTGGCTAAGGATCTACAATGAAGCAAGTATCATATCTGTTATATTGCAAACTGCTGTGATGTTCCTCTTGTCATAGAGTCACACAGCACAGAAACAGACCCTTCAGTCCCGTTCATCCGCACCGACCAGACATCCCAATCTGACCTAATCCCATTTGCCAGCATTTGGCCCATATCTCGCCAAACCCTTCCTATTTATATAGATGCCTTTCAAATGTTGTAACTGTACCTGCCTCCACCACTTCCACTTTAATAAAGAAGACCAAACATATTACACTTTGAAACTATTTCAATTGACCCATTAGGTGGAACTAAATTAAGCATACAAGATCAAAATTCTGATGATGAGTATAAAGTTGTCTGCTTTTTCTCATTTATGGCTCATGACAATACATTTCCAGTATTTCTGCTTTTGTTTCTAACATAATGTGTTTTTTTAAAAGAACCAGCAAGAAGAGCTAATCATGGTTACAGAAGAATGCCAGGTATGTGAAAATTGTTTATTTGTTATAAGAATGTTAGATATTCTGCAAATTCCCGCCTGGATAATTTTTCAGTTTTGCACATGCTGCCTGTGTTCAACCATAAGAAAATAAAAATTAGGAGCAGAAGGAAGCCATTCGACCCCTCAGACCTGCCCTGTCATTCAACAAGATCATGGCTGATCTGCACCAAGCCTCAACTCCTCTTTCATGCCAGCTTATCGTAGCCTTGATATGTAAACTATCTATCTACCTCTTCTTCAAAACTTCCAGTGATTTAGCCTCACAACTTTCTGGGGTAGGAAATGCCAGACATCTAGAAGAGGAAATTCCTCAACTTCAGTTTTAAAGTCATATCCCCTTAATCTGTAACTGTCTTCCTGAGTATGAGATTCCTCCAATAATGGAAACACCTTCTCACGTTAACCCTGTCAAACACCCTCAGAATCTTTTATGTTTCCAACAGATCACCCTTTATCTTTCTAAATTCAAATGAGTAAAAATCAAATCTTGTTGAGCCATTTGTGATAAGTCAACATGTTCATCCCAGGAATCAGCCTGGTGGATCTTTTTCTGAAGTTCTCGCAATGCCAATACATAATTTCTTTAATACAAAGATCAAAATTGGGTTCTCCAATTGAAACAGAGAAATTTGAGGCCAGTGATTCAAGGCAGTTTATGCCATTTAGAAGATGTGGGAATAGTATGGGTTAGTGTTTTATTGAGTGGTTTATAATTGAATATGGAAAGTTCCTGGTTCAGGTGTTAGCTGTGGATACTTCTTTCTGACTTTGGCATTGTGGTCAGTGGCACACTTCCAGCAAGAAATGGGCAAGGAGACCACCCATCAAATTGGATGTTTGTGCACCCATTTATGTAGTTGAAAGGCAAGTGCAGTACCACCAAATGTTTAGGCCACAAATCCAGATCATTATGTTACTGATATGCATAAAATACCCAAAACAGGATTAGCTTTCTCACTTTTCTGTCTGTCTGCAAATAGCTTGTACTTTATTGCTGGCTGATAACAAGTTAAAGGCATGCAATTTAATGGAGTTAAAACTGTACAACTTCGTCAGTCCACTTTTCTTATATATATTTATTGAATGCCACAGTTGGCCTCTCCTTCAAGAAACATTAATTTCCTTCTCCAACTTCTCCTGGAGCAAGTATCTAGCAGTCTTATTTATCTACATTACCCCCCCTACAATTCCTTTCAATAATGCATTTGTCCAGGGTCCATGCAATATTTAATTTGACATTGTGGTTTGCTTGAATGTCTGTCACTGCTCCAGAGTCAGGTCTTGCTAAGTTAGGGCCAGTTTTAGAGACAACTTGCAGATTAAGCAGTTTGGTGCTGAAGGTAATAATTTTAAAGGTTTTATTATACACAGTATACAAGACAATGTATTATCACAATAAATGTAATATTCTGACATTATGTTAATGGAGAATTGGTAGTTCAATTGTGAATAAAAGTTCTCATCCAACTGGGTTGTATATATTTTATTCTTAAAATAATTCTAACATTATTAGATCTGGCCAAAGAGTAACAAAACTGCCCCATTGCATAGTTGGCATGCACTTAACTGTATTTTCAAACATGTCCTTAAAGATTAAGTATTTCATTTACTTTTTATGATTTTTACATACAGTTGGAAGAAGGGCAAGACAAACAATGAGGAAAAACCCAATAAAACGAAAACCAGTTCAAGCTTAAGGAGGATTTTAAACCTTTTGATAACACAAAATGCAGGACATCCACTAAATACAAATGGTGCAATTTAAAATTGGGGCCTGGCTTGCGGCGATCACAAATGATGAGGATGTCAGTTTTGCACATGCCGCAAACTCTTATCAGGTTACATGGTTGTTGAATCGAAAGTCAGAACACATTAATTTTTGTATTTCCCTATGTTTTGTATTGAATCTTTAGTATATTTTAGGATCAAATCTGGATGGATTCTGGGGCATTTCCTTGGTACTATTGGAAAATTAATTCAGCGACCTTTCAGAATGTAAAATGAATAATTTACTAAACAGCAATTTAATTGTGGAATTTGTTCCCGAGGACCGCAGTTGCTTTTGCTGGGGTAAAATAATGGCAAGTCAGGAAAAAGAAAGCAATTGAGTGAACATGTATCTTCTTGTTTTCTCAGTATTGAGATTATCATAAGCACAAGGGAAATATATTCAAGGATATAAAAAATAGAATGTTTCAAAGCAAGCAGTTTGAAAAAGATTAAAAGTTGCTTTATGTTTGGTGTTTGTTTCCATTTTTTGAAGCTGGGCTTAATAATTTACAGATGGGGATTTGGCTAATGCTTGGAAACTGGTATGTCTGCATGGTTAAGGATAAAAATATTAAAGTTGGTGCTTGCTCTAGTGAGTCTATGGGCTATTTCTAACATGTATTTTGTACTAAGACAAAAATGCTTTGCAGTCAACAAACACAAGTTGAAGTTGTTTGTACTTTTGTAAATGGAGTGGTATCTTTGTTCTGAACTTTTTTTTATAACTCATGTTTTGTATCAATGAAAGACTTGCTCTTTATTCCTGTTTATGTTTTGCAGTTTAAATCCTTGTTGCTATTTCTGGGAAACCATGCCTAAAAATCTGTGGAAAACATGCTGAACCTGGCGCTTTTCTGTATTCTCTTTGAGAAACAATTATCTATTAAAAAATTTTTCCTCATTTGTGGTGGTGGTTTTAATTGGTTCTGTTTGCTCATGTGTATCTATTTGAATGTAGTAATTGCCCAGGACATTGCTGCTGTTGACCTTCTCAGTGGCTATGATTCTGGAAATGGGAGATAGTTATTCAATGATACAATACTGCAGATGCTGGAAATCTAAATTTAAAGAGAAAATGCTGCAAGCATTAACCAGGTCAGATAGCAGTCACAGATGGTTTTAAGTTCCATCCAATATTATGATGTTGTAGAGTCTGGGGTGTGGAATTTGGACAAATAGCTCTGGATCTTGAAGTGGCTAGAAGTATCATACATACCTCCAAATAATCTTAGTAACTGTGGCTAACTAGCTAATGTAACTTGTACCTATTGTTATCGTGCAATAAACTACATCTTGTAAAGAGCCTGTTCTTTTTCAGACTCATTAGTGGTTGTTCCTGTACTGCTGTAAACCAAGGAGAACTTTAGACCCAGTCAAGGAAAGAGGAATGGTGGCAGCACCCTTCTATCCACAGACATCACAGTTGACACAACATCAGGTTCCACATGTATGCAAACAATACACAGCTCACCAACAAGTCTTTGACCATCTCTGCCTCTGTTTTGTCATACCACTTGTTAGGCATTCAATATTGGATTCTCAGAAATTGCCTCCAAGTTAATTTTGGGAAGACTGACCCTATTGTCTATGATTCCCAGCCCAAATTCTGTTCATTCTCCATTGTTTCCAGTCCAGACTACTTGCAACTTTGGTCTCGTGAACCTTGAAATGAGTTTCCGATCACATAGCTGCACCATCACCAAAACTGCCTACTTCCACCTCTGTAATATCGCTGGACTCCAACGCTGGCATTGACTTTGGTAGACTCAAATATTGCAGTGATTCCCCCTCCCATCTTCCACCCATCAAAATAATGGATATTAAAGCAATGAAGAATTAAATGAAATAAATATTTTGCTTCTGTCTCCACTATTAAGGATATAAAAAGAAGTCTGGTAATAGCTACAGATCAGGAGGTAGAAGGGAGAGAGGAACTTAGTGTAACATGAGGGAAGTGGTCCTAAGCCAGCAAATGGCTGACAAGTCTTTGGATCCAGATGGACTTCATCCCTGGGTCTTAAAAGAATGAACTAGTGGATGCATAACTATCATGTAAACACACTTGTCAGTCCCATAACCGATCTGAATATATTACATTTCAGCTGTGCCCTTCCATCCAAAATCTCCCAGCAGAATAGCAAAATCTAACAGTGGAATAACGTATCACCTTGTGAAACTAATTGGACATTAAAGGCTTTTGCAAATGCAAATATGCTTCTTTAAGCTTTTTGAAGTTAAGCAAAGGAAACTCTTAGTAAGATATGAAAGTTAATTTTCTTATTGCACATAAGAGAGGGGCAAACCACCATCCATTAACAGATTCAATTTGAACCTGTGTAATTGTTAAAAGTCAACCACATTGCTGTGGATCTGAAGTCACCTATAGGCCAGACCAGGGAAGGGTGGCTGATTTCCTTCCTTGAACAACATTAATGAACCAGGTTTTTATAACAACAGACAGTTGGTATCTACTAAGCGAGCATTTTTTAAAATTCAGATTTATTTTTCTTGAATTCAAATAATACTTCTACAGTAACAATGTTTGACCAGATATAGCAGTTAGAAAGCCTTAACAGTATTTCTTCTTGTCAAACACTACGTATCAAAGAATGAACATCTCTTTGTGTCCAGACATTGATTTATTTCTTTCAAACAGAAACAGAAAATTCTACAAATACTCAGCAGGTGAGGTAGCATTGTTGGCGAGAGAAACAGACTCAAGAGTCCAGTCTTTTGCTGTTACTGATGGTGAGCTTGAAGGTGTGAAGAGCTTGTAATAAAGAAAGACGATAGCTGCGGACAATTTCAAAGTTTGGATGGTACAAAACTTGGAAGCATTGTAAACTGTGAGGAGGACAGTGCAAAACTTCAGAAAGACATAGACAGGTTAGTGGAGAGGGCAAATGGGTGGCAGATGACATTTATTGCAGAAGGAAGTGAGCTGATGTATTTTGGTAGGAAGAACTTGGACAGATAACACAAAATAAGGGTTATGACACTTATTAGGGTGAAGGAGCAGAGGCACCTAGGTACATACGTGCATAGTTCAATGATGCTTGCAGGCCAGGTAGAGAGAGCCATTAACAATGCATACCACATTTTCTGGGCTTTATTCATAGAGACAAAGAGTACAATGGGAAGGAGGTTATACTGAACTTTTTCAAGATGCTTCTTAGACCTCAGTTGGAATATTATATACAGTTTTGGGTGCCACTCTATAAGAAGGATTGAATACATTGGAAACAGTGCAGAAGAGTTACAACATTGGTACCAAGGATGAGAAATGTCAGAAATTGGAAAGGGAACTGATCTCCTCGGTGGGTCAGGATGCACTGCCTGGAAGTATGGCGGAAGCAAGTTCAATTCAGGCATGCAAGAGGGCATTAGATGTTTATTTAAATGGAACCAATGTGCAAGGGCACAGAGAAAAGGCAGGACAATGATATTAAGTCATATTGTTGTTGGAGATCCAGTGTATACATAATGGGCCAAATAGCCTCCTTCAGTATCATAATATTCTGTGGTTCTGTACCTGAACCCGAGCATTTTTCCATCTAAGCCAGAATTAAATTCTGACTACCCGAAGGCCTTATACTGCTGCTACTGGGGTTAACTTGACTAAAGATAGGCCTGCCACTTTGCAGTGTGCACAGCAAGTAGATCTGCATGGCCTACTTTTCACATCAGGTATGGGATGGGTGTTCCTCGGTCAAAGACACTCTGTGTCTGATTGGGCGACTCAGTGGAAAAAGGATGGGTTGCCCTCTGAGAGCAGCCTCCCTGCCCTAGCTGTTACCTGATCCTCCACCCCATCTCCCTGTAACCCTCACCATGTGAAGCACTGTTCCCCTGCCACCCATATCATTTATTTGAGTCCTGAGTCCTCTGCGATCCCAAGACTCCAGTGGGTCTCTTTCTGGTATAGCCATGGCCACATGAGTGGTACTACAGAGCTACTAGCCTCCGATGTTAGAGTTCTGCAGGCGTGATCCTCATTCCAGATTAAGACCCTATGGCGGCCTCACTGATCAGCTCAGGGTTTGGTGGGTCTTCTCCAGGAGAAGCAGCACAGACCTCTCACCAGCTGTCAAACTGTCTCCCCCACACCACATTCTTCCCAATGTTTTAGGTTGATGACCGTTCATCAGAATGGGAAAAGTGTTAAGCAACTGAAGGATGGAGCTGGATAATAATCAGTTAAGGTAGCTCTGAACTAGGGTGGAAGATGGGATAGATTTAAAGAGTTAGTGTTGCAAGCCCAAAGGGAGTGACCATGAGAAGGTTAAAGAAGCTAAAAATCTGTCTGGGGAAGGTCCCATTGGGTTACCCATAGCAACCCCTTCAATTTGGAGTAAATCAGAGGAGGTGAAGTAAAAATTGTTATGCATGGAAATGGATTTGACTTTCATTCAAGGGAGAGGCCGAGACTAAGTGCACTGGTGGAGATGGAGGTGAAGAAAGATTGGACATCCATGGTGATGATGGTTAGGGCCAGGTAACTGGAAACTGTTAAGGTGATGGAGGGCATGGGAACAGATATAGGCAGGAAGGGACTGGACAAGGGGGTAAAGAATTTGAAGCAGGAAGAAAATTGTTCAGTGACGCAGCGAGAGACTTAAATGATGGATCCAACAGAACAGTCCTATTCGTGGAACTTGGAAAGGAGATGAGATGTAGACTTTTCAGGGTGGGGGAGCATATCCAAGGAGATAAGTTTAGCGACAGTCCTGGGGACAGTTGCTTGATGTTTGGTGGTGAGATACTAGGCCAGAGAAGTAAGAGACAGTATGAGAACATTGTTGTTCAAGTCAGTTGAGTAGGTTGCTCACAGCTTCTCAATCATCATCCCCAAGTTTGCCAAATGAACTTTACACATGCCCAACCACTTTGAATGGGCATCCACGATGACCAGGAACATTGATCCAATGAAAGGACTGTATAGTCGACATGTAACCGAGACTGGAATTTGCCCGGCCATTCCCACAAAGTTGGGGTGCTGCTGGTGGCAATTTTTGTCCGTGTTGGCATTCTGGGCACTGCCCACCAATACAGCTATAATGGCATCCAACCCTAGACACCAGCCATAACGTCTTGCCAGCATTTTCATCTTGGAAACCCCTGGATGACCCCGGTGGAGTTCGGCCAGTATCTAGCAGCGACCTTTACTCGGGGCAATCACCCTTGCTCCCCACAGTAATATGCCGTCCTCTACGGTGATCTGGTCTCACCAGGTCCAAAAAGGTTTCAATCCTGGTTGTGATGGCCCTTTTGTTTCCCCCATTACCACCGGCTGTTTCAGTTTCGCTCGGGCAGGATATTTTGTGTCCATAGTTGGATATTATCCGCGGAGACTGGGAGGGCATTCAGAAAGTTTAAAATCAAAATGGACACTTCCAGGGGAGGCACCACCGGTGGAGTGTCTGCCAGTGGGAGGCAGTTCGAGGCATCTGCGTCAGCCACTCGACTTCCTGGATGGTGTTCTAATTTGTACTTGTGCCTGCTGAGAATAATGGTCCAACGCTGAATTCTACCGGAAGCTATGGGTGGCACCGCCTTGTCTTCCCTCAGTAGCCCTAACAGGGGTTTGTGATCTGTTACCATGACAAATTCTCATCTGTAAAGATAATGTGGAATACCCTCACACCAAAGACGACCGCTAAACCTTCCTTCTCTATGTGGGCATACTTGTGTTCAGCATCAGCCAAAGTCCGGGAAGCATACAGTATTAGGCACACCTTTCCATTGGGCAACTGGTGAGCCCACACCACCATGATACCATGCAGGAAGGCATCGCATGTCAGCACTAACCTCTCACTTCGATTGTAGTGGGCCAACACCTTAGGTGATGATAGCTGCTTTTTTCCCACTTCCCTAAAAGGCTAGTTTTTGACTTTGTTACCA